TTGAGTAAAGTACTGAGTAGTTAGCATAAGGTGTTACCATTACCTCCTTTGTACATATTGTAGTTTGGTATTCTATGATATAAAGCAAATAGTCTAAGTTCCACATTATATCATACCGGGCTACATAATGATGTAAAACCCAATTGAATACCCCCCCTACACACACACATTATAACATGGAAACCTTCAGGAGATCACTAGAATATTGAAATGTTGTAAGGTTCTTGAAATCTTAAACATTTACCACAGCAAGCCCCCAAATCTCCCCATTTCTCCATCAGTGTTGAGAAAGACAGTCTGAATACTCTTGCCTCTCATAAGAATTTTCTCACCCCAGGCAAATGGATGACTAGGGCTTTACAAAGCTGGGATACACTCTGTTGTTATGAAACTGTATATATACAAAAGACAACCTCCCTATTAATATTTATAGCTTAGAACAGTCAAAGGACACACTAAAGCTCCATAACTTTTTACGATAAAATATCAAGCTTGCTAAATATGCATACACATACATAAATAAATTGTATTTTTGACTGGGGGAAGGGTCAGAGGTAGTGTCTCTGAATAAATAGCTCTCAGACCAGTTCCACCCCCCGTCTTTTCCACGGCAGCTGCCTTTGGCTCTGTTTTATTTTTTTTTTTTTTTTATCTGCTAAGGCCAGCTGCCTCCTCGATGGTTGGATCCTCTGCCATGGCCTGGGCTGCCTCAGGGATGTTGAAGGACCACCTCCACTGGGGTCAGTCAGGCTCTCTTGGCTGCATGCGTGCGTGTGGTTTATCTGCCTGATGGGCCCAGGCAGCAAGGCAGAGCTGCTCTTCTCTTCTCTTCTCACTTTCTTATCTTTCCCTCACTACTCCTGCAACAGTGACCTGTATCACCTTGCCTGAATGCATCAGCTTTGCTACCGCCGGGACCTGGAGCAGGCAGTTGTAATCAGGCATTCTTCCCAGCTCCTGATGCTTTTGAGTTTATCAGTGCTTACCCTCCCGGTCATTCCCATGACTGTCAATAGCACAACATCCAGAGGCGAGGCACCGTGCCTCCTCACATCTGGGCTTTCATGGGGTTATGCCTGAACAATGGCTAAGTCCAGCTCTTCAAGTAGCGTGCAAGGTAGGGGGGCATATACAGCACACAGAAGCCTTAAAATCATAGGATCATTTAGGCTGGAAAAGACCTCTAAGACTGAGTCCAACCATTAACCCAGCACTGCAAACTCCACCAATAAATCATATCCCTAAGTGCAACAGCTACACATCTTTCAAACACCTTCAGGGAGGGTGACTCAATTACATCCCTGGGCACGACTGTTCCAATACTTGACAACCCTTTTGCAGAAGAAGTTTTTGGAAACATCCAATCTAAAGTTTCCCTGGCACAACTTGAGGCCATTTTCTCTTGTCCTATTGCTTATTTCTACAGAGAAGAGATAGACACCCATCTGGCTACAACCTCCTTTCAAGTCATTGTAGAGATCAATAAAGTTCCCCCTGAACCTCCTTTTTCTCCAGGCTAAACAATCTCAGTTCCCTCATCCACTCCCCATGTGACTTGCTCTCTTTACCCACTAATACTCCAAACTTGCTGGTCAAGGGAGTTGCTGGTCAAAGTCAGTGCCCTGTGTTTTTGGTGGGGTTCCTATGAGGCTGCCCCCATCTAGTGCTCTGCAAAGAGTCCCTTTGCTACCTCCCCCTGAGCTCACCTATCCCAAAGAACAGATTTTGCAAATGCTGTTGTTGGTTGTTAGTCACACCTCCCCACTAAGGGAGCAAGGACTTTATTTAGCATGCGATTGATCTTTTTTCTTTAATCTTTTCACAGGTCTCAATGAACATCTGAGTGACATAAGGATCATAGAAAATGGTGGGAAACAGACAATTTGGGAAATTCTAGGAAGCATCCTGTAGTAAAACAGAAAGAGCACACTGGGGCTGGTCCCAGGTCACCTGCGATGTAAATTGTGGAAGTCCTGTCTGCCATGTGTAACTCAGAGATCCAATTTGTACATATGCAACCAGCACTCTGAAGAAATGTTAAACATTTTCTCCCTGCTCTGAAAAATGCAAAAATCAGAAACTGTTAAAATCAAAAGTGCTCACAAAGCAAGAACTTCACTGAATTATCGTTATGCAAAGTGTTTTTGGAAAGAAAGTGTAATGAATGTCAAACCATTCTGCTTAATTGAAGTGCCAGTAAATTAGGGCTCCTGAAGTTTAGTGAAAACTGAGTAAAATTATATTTCTTAAAAAACATCTGAACTACAATTCTCAGCTTTGTCCATATGGGGTTGTTCTTGGAATAGCAATTCATGAAAAATTTTTAAGATCTGAGCATATGACAAGAAAATATCTCAAAATCTCTGGTCTTGAAACAGTAGAAAGTCTGTTTTCTGAATAGTCATAAAGGTGATGCAGATACACCACAACACACTCTCCATAATTCCACTCAGTTTTAAAGGTTTCTTTTAATAAAATTTTTCAAACAAAATATTGCCAGAATTAATGTAAGGAAAACTGTAGTATCCTTTCCAGCCTTTCGGAGCAACAACAACAAAATCATGTTGAACAGGCAAGGCTTTCAAATTGTGTTTTGCTCTTACAATGACTATATTGCCTTACACAAAATCCCTGTAGTGGATCTAGTGTGGTGCAGATAAAACACTCCTTGGCATATGTAGAAATCCCCTTAAAACTACGAAGCTGGGGTTGGGGGTGTTAATATTGCCTCTGATGATTTCTGAGTCTGAACTCAACCTGATGCAAGGCCAGATCTAGCAGGTAATATTTTGGCTGCTTCCTTTATACTCCTGGTGGGAAGCTTCCCTTCCTTGATGTGTTGAAGGACCTGCAAGGCCAGTTTGGTGCTCACAGGAGCATAGTGCATTTTTTCTCTTTGAGATCCAGTAGGTGATGGAGCTAGAAAGACTGCTTGATGTCTCTCAGCATGCATTTCCAGTGACCAGAACTCAGCCTAACTTTATTACATTAAAGAAGAATGCCTTCACCCCCCCCCCCTCATATCAAGAGAAAAATTCAAGATTTTGCACACTTTTACAAACAACATATTGAAAAAAAGCCCAGTTTGCGAACTCTGGTCATTTTACAGCAATGCTTCAGACCTGTGCCAACAGATTCTGACTCTAATTCAGGAAAGGCACTAGTTAATTTTGATTTCTCAGCGCTGTCTTCAGTTCTGTTGTCATAATTAGAAAGTCAACATTTACCCACATCTGTCACGAGACCTAGGAAAACTATTAGTTGCAAACAGCTGATTTGTTGAATTTAGCTCTCTTTCCTAATTGTGGTTGATCAACGATCACATTTTAATTTCTATTAATTTTATTCTCTGTATAAATTCTTCTGTGATTTGTTAATCTGAATATATTTCAGCCTATGTATTGCTTACAGACTGGATGGTGTATCAGAGTTCTTGTGAGTTGTAATTCACTATTCAGTTTGTACATGAAGGATCATTTGAATCCCAACCTATTGTTTCTGGTCTCTAGGTGAACAATCTTCAAAAATATAAAGTGATTTCCAGATGACTTCTGCAGTTTGGAAACTTTAGAAACAAAATTCACAGAAGTACTTGTTTCACTGTCTTTTTTAATATAAATTTATGAAAAAACATTTCTCCTATCTATATGTATGCAAAAAGACCTGATGAACTCTCCATTGAAAACAACAGAAATGCCCTGACTCAAATCAAAGAGGATCCTATAACGTTCACTGTGGATAAAATGGGAGAAAATATTGTCCAATTAAATGAGGGGATTTAATTAATATTTGTCTTCCTTGGGTTCTTAAAACTGATCCCCAGAAAGATTGTCCTCCTTTCCTTTCTTCCACCATTATTGCTCCACCTGTTGCATCTCAGAGACACCTTGATAATTTTTTATATTCTTCCCAACTGACAGCCAGGGGGAAGGATGAGGTTTTTTTGATAGAAACACAATATGGCAATAAGACTAGAGAAATGCAAAAAAAAACCACAAAAAGAAACTGCATGTCTTTTCCTGAAGTGTTCAAAAGTCCATTGAAAAGAGGGAGGGATCACACTAGGTAAAGCTCGCCAGACAGTCAACAGTGCTTTTGTGCAGAGGGGACACAACTGATGTCCATCAGCTTGAGAAGACTGCCTGAAAGAGCTGTGCCAGGCTTTCCTGCACTGGCATCAGTGGCTTTTGATGGTAAATTCTGTGCATTTCTTCTGGAGGGACTGGCTGTTCGTGTTGAGTGTGTTCATACTGAGCTGCGTTATGGTTCCCTTGCTGAATGCCAAGGTCTTCAGGGAAAGAAATCCTCTCCCCAAGGAACTTTGATGATGTCCAGCCATTTATGTTCTCTGGGAAATGTGGAAATGTGGTGTTAGAAATGTTATTTTGAAAATGGGTTATATATATGTGTGTATCAGGGAATCACAGAATGGATTGGGTCAGAAGGGACCACAGTGGGTCATCCGGTCCAACCTCCCTACCCAGTCAGGGTCATCCTAGAGCACATGGGACAGGACTGCATCCAAACAATTCTGGGATATCTTCAGTAAGGGAGAATTCTCTGGGAAATCTGTTTAGTAAAGTAAACTTGCATAGTAAAGAAGTTCTTCCTCATATTCAGGTGGAACTTCCTGTGCATCAGATTCTGTCCATTGCTTCATGTCCTAGTGGTTGGCATCACTGAGAAGAGCCTAGTTCCATCCTCTTGGCATCCTCTCTTTAAATATTTATACATATTGATGAGGTCCACTCTCAGTTGTCTCTTCTTGAGGATGAATAGGCCCAGCTCCCTCAGCCTGTCCCTGTAACAGAGGTGCTCCAGTCCCTAAATCATCTTTGTTGCCCTCTGCTAGACTCCCTCCAGGACTTCCATGCCTCTCTTCCTGCTCTGAGGAGCCCAGACCTGGACACCGCACTCCAGATGTGGCCTCACCAGGGCTGAGTAGAGGGGCATGATAAGCTCCAGCGACCTTCTGGCAATGTTCTTCCTAATGCATCCCAGGATTCTGTTGGCCTCCTTGACCACAAGGGCACACTGCCGGCTCACGGACAGCTCCTTGCCCATCAGGGTCCCCGACGTCGTTCTCCGCAGGTACATATGGACAGAGCTGCGGGAGGCAGAGCTGGGCGGGGGGGTTGTAACCTGGTGGATCAGCAAGAGCAGCACCTGCCGGTCCCGCGGGACACAAACACGCGGGGCCATTAAGAGCATCCGCACACACGGTGACTCCACTGCGCCCCGCATCGCGCCGCGATGGGGCCCGGGCTGGGCCGGCGGGGCTGGGGCTGTGCCGGGGCCGTGCAGGGGGAACAGCACCGATGGCGGTGCCGATGCCGGGGCCGGGGCCGCGGCCGCGGGGCGTCCCCACGCCGGGAGTCGCAGCCGTTGCCATGGCGACGCAGGCAGAGTCGAGCCACGGTGTGGGAGCTCGGCCCTGCGAGCGATCGTATCGATTAAACGAGCTTTTTATATTTTAAAACTCTTTTTTATTTAATTATTTTAATTTTTTTTTTTTTTTGTCGGTTAGGACAGCTAGCGGGGTGGGCACGGGTAAGGAGGCACTGAGCGGAGCTGGTGCCGAGGGCGGCCGTCACATCCCTTCGCTACCCCCGGGAGCGAGTGACCATCAGGCGTGTGCGGTGGTTGCCCAGGGCGAGTCCCCCCTCCGCACCACAGGCCGTAGATAAAGCACATCCTCGGGTGCCGAGCCCCCGACGCGTTGCCGTCCTGACGGCAGGCTGCGAGCAGCGCTGGGAGGCAAAGCTGGTTTGGGTTTGTGATGTTTAGGGACAGCACTCGCCAGCGGGGCAGCACTCGAACCCCGCTTGCCATCTCTCCTAAAGTCACTGTCAGTCTGTGGGCACCTCAGGTCGTCCCGCAGGGATTCCTTGGATGACTGTTAAGGACCTGCCTGCTGGAGGAACGTCTCCTGTAATATTCATTATTCTCAGCCTGACCTCAGCGTGAGGATGTAGTGACCCCCCGTAATAACAGGACACCCCTCACTCCCAAGCCTGATGACCTGCGTGGGCGCATGTTGCCTGTGCGGCCCTTTTGCCTCCCTGGTCTCAGGAAAGTGGCACAATACGGTGCGGCAGTCTGCCGGCGGATCTGTTACTAAAGGAATTCATGCATCTTGCATCTTGGAGATGCATTATTAATGCCTGGACAAATCACATCAGGTGGAGCTCAGCAAGTCCCTGGCACTGCAAAAAGGAACAAAGGCTGGTTCTACAAGAGAGAGAAGGATGAGACAAATTATAACAGCTGGGAGTTTCTTGTCAGTAAGATGGCATAAAAACAGAAATGCTAAAATTGTTTGCACATAAGGAGAGTTTATATTTTTATTGGGAAGGAAATTACACATTGCACTGTGAAGGAGACACTTTATTTGTATCCTAATAAACATCACATTACTGGGCATATTTGAAATCCATGGCAAACTGGGCCAGCTTGCTGGCATCCAAATTACTTCCAAGCACAGTTTTATTTAGTATCTGGAAAGGACTATAAAGACTGGATTTGCATGTAGAGGGCCCAGTCCGCTTCTCATCTCCTTGAAGTCAATGGCAAAACTCCCATTCACTTCAGCAGTAACAGGATCAGGCCAGAGTTTGTAGCAGTCTTCCAAAGGGAAGAAGGCAATGCTGCCTGCAACAGCACATGAGAAGTCACAGACCCCAGCCTCCTGGGCAGAAAGCAGTAGTTCTTCATCTCTCTAACTCTTGATAAGAAGATCTAATTTGTGCAGCACAGGCTTTGATGCCAGCTAGTATTTTTGTCCCCATGGTGCTAGTAGTTATCCAAAATCTGGGCCTTGCTGCCTTTATTGCATTAGGAATGGAAGAGGATAATAAGAACCCAGGATTTCTTTGGGAAGGGTCCTGTTTATTTTCAGGGGATGTTTTTACAGTAAAGTGCTATTACAGCAAGGCAGGAGCAAGCAAAGTAGTTTCTTATTTGGAAGTGCAAGTCTCTTTTCAGGGAACACTAAGCCAGGAAGAAATATATTTTTGTTTCACCCCCTGACAATGAACCATTGCACTACTGTGAGTGGCTTTCCCAATGTCTTCCCTTTTCCCTATTTTTCACTCCCTCTCACATCCACCTACAACATGCAAACCCCCAACTGTTTCACTCACAGTCTTCACCCAGGAGAACTGCTGTGTCTGCTCTCTGCTCCTGCCCTTTTTACTCTTGTCTTGTCAAGCTGAGCCATGCTCTCGGCAGTGACTTATATTGTTTTTGTTGCCAGTAAATTAAAGGACACTAAATTGTTCTTTCATTTAGTCTTAAAAAAAGTTCATTAAAACAAACTTCTGACTTTTACCTCCTTGTGTTTTGTGATTACCATTTCAGCACATCAGTACTTTATTTTTGACTTCAGACTGACCAACTGGAACATTGTATTTTCTTTCATAAGAGCCTCTAAAGGCACAATGGAACTCGTGTTTAGCTGACAAAAAGCCCCAAACCTCTTTTAGACATCTACCAACTTGCCATTTTTCTCTTCCCCCAGTATATGATTCGATAGGATTTCTATCAAAACTATTTATTTAAATTTAAAAAAAAGTTACCAAGGTGCTTAAAAAGCATTTGAAGTAATTATTTTACACTATAACAGTATGAAATGTATTTCCGCTGTCACTGAAAACAGATCTAGCCTTTGGTATGAAGTGGAGAGAGAAGGGTATTTGTTAGAGATCCATATGAGATGGTAGGAGATTATTGAGATATCTCTAGCCATCACTATAGTGATAATCACTCTCTCAGTGCAAGAAATAGGACCCAGTGAGGAGTGGTAAAAAAGGGACAAACTAGGCAATTTTCACTAAAGCAAAAAGTAAAAAACTTGTCTCTCTAATTCTTTAATGTACTGGCAAGCTAACAGTTGTAACCTTGTTTTGCCAAAACCAGTTGAGTGAGTGAAGACCTTGACAGAGAGGCAATGGTGTGAGGATTTTGTACAGGTAGGCATGTACTGAGGGTACTGTGGGGTTATGGATTACCTACACCCAGCTAGGAGATGGATCTGGGAATAGTGAGAACAGCTGCTCAGTGCTCACAGACAACCAGAAATGTAATGTTAGTACATGAAAGTAAAGGGCTCAAGAATAGCCCTTCAAATATTTAGGATACTTTCATATAAGAGGGTGAAGCATCATGGCATATGGTATACAGTGTTCAGGGTTAATCAAGCACTGTTGAGAAAAGCTACTTATCAAGAAACAGAGATAGGGATCAGCACATCAAAAAGCACTGAAAACATTGAGAGGCTTCATACAAAGAGAACCTGCAAAGATCATGTTGTTTAGATGTGACAACTCTTAAGAAAGAAGTCTTTACTCAACATTCCTCGGGACTGAGGAATGGCAAGCACTTACTGAGGTTAAAGAGAGAAATCTTCACCTGAAGACCTTGCACAAAGGCATGTGGTATCTGCTCTGGTACTTGAGGCCCAGGCATAGTTAAATTGCTCGCATCGATACCCCTTGTTTCCTCCAGTGAAACTCTGGTTTGATTAGACCCAAAGTGCATCTTCTGCTCATTGCCTAAATTCTGAAAAGAGGATTTTATTTTATTAAATTGCAGACTAATGATTTCAAGCACATTAAAAAGGGGCATTTTTCCAAAGCTCCTTCTGTGTAATCTGTCTGTTAAATACAGAGTCTTCCTGACATCCTAAAGGAAATGACATTCTATTTAAACATGTTACCTGCTGATCTACTAGAGAAGCAGGCCAAAAGTTTTTTCTGTTTGGTTTGTGTTTGCATGTGTGTGTGGTTGTTTCATGGCTCCTGGGTAATGTTATCCATATTTTTCTGTTTGGAGAATCACTCTTCCCTATGCACTCACCAACCAACATGAAACCACCTAATTATATTTTCATAATCATGATTAAAAACCATCTAAATTATCCTGCTTGATGTACTCAAAGAGTTTGTTGATTGCTTTTTGATGTGTATTAGAGCTTTTTGCAGAGCCACATCAAATGGTTTGCTCCACAATGAAATAAAAAAACTTGTAATATACATATGCACATCTTTAAAAAAAACATATATAATTTATATTCTGCTAATTAAGCTACATCAAAACCAAGTCTATCACCATGAAATAATTGTGTAAAAGCTACTCACCTATTAGAAGAACATTAATTTCCACTTTACTTTTTTTTTTCAAAATATCGATTTTATCTTATACAAGGCAATTCAGCATTTCAAAGCCTCAGAGTCTCAGAGAGTGTTTTTCCACCTCCATGGAGACCTTAAATCTTGAATACAAAATCAAGTTTTAGAATAGAAAACTGAAGTAAATAATATTTTCATGCAGAATAGGCGCCTTCTGCATAATGGATCACAAACATTTTAATTTTTTTCCTGTGTTGTTTTCACATCTTAAATACGCCACACCAAATCTTGACAAAAGTTCTGTCTGCTACAGCCAAAGGATTGATAAGAGGAGGGGAGAAGATAGAAGGGAATTTGCAGAAATTAATCCCTGATTCTGGGTTTGAGACTGAACCATGGTCTGTTTTACTAAGAGACCATCTCAGTGTTCAGCACAATGTTTGGTGTGTGTCTGGTTAATTTTGAAGACTGTTGAGAAAATTTAATGCATCAAAATTTAATGGATGCTGAAAGTCCTCAAAACCCTGAAGGCCAACCAAGGCCAAGCTGAACAGGACTTTGAGCAACCTAGTGGAAGGTGTCGCTGCCAAGGACAGTGTGGTTGGAACTAGATGATCTTCAAGGTCCCTTCCAACCCAAACCAGCCTAGGATTCTGTGTCTTCCATTAAGTCAGTCCATGAGCACATAGGAATTAAGGCTTTCTTCATAGTTGTCCAGCTCCAATCACAAAGCCATCATTCATTAAATAATAAAAATAAAATACTCTAGGAAAACAATTAAATAATTCAAACTCTGCCTACTTGATATCAAATCTGTTGTCATATTAAATATTCATGTGAAATGAATCTGTAGGTGTGTCTGTATGAATGGAACGCAAGTGCAAATATTGATGCTTTGCTACAACTTCACATCCAGTGCAAGAGCACAGAGAATGGTCACACATGCAAAAGCGTCCTCCTCCT